GGAGGGGATCGGTATTTCATCATATTTACTGATTAACTTCTGGTTTACGCGAATTCAAGCCAACAAGTCAGGTATCAAAGCCTTAACAGTTAACCGTGTTGGTGATATGTTCCTTAGTGTAGGATTCTTTGCTATCTTTTGGGTATTTGGTAATGTAGATTATGCGACAGTATTTAGTGTAGCACCATTTATTAATGAAACAGCTATTACGATTATTGGTCTATTACTACTACTAGGAGCTATGGCCAAAAGTGCTAACTTAGGACTACACACTTGGCTGCCAGATGCGATGGAAGGTCCGACTCCCGTGTCTGCACTTATTCATGCTGCGACTCTAGTTACAGCTGGAGTTTACCTATTACTGCGATCATCTCCTGTAATTGAATATTCACCTACTGTACTTATTGTAATTACTTGGGTTGGTGCATTAACAGCATTTGTAGCAGCTACAACAGGACTATTACAAAATGATATTAAACGTGTTATTGCGTATAGTACTATGTCACAAATGGGATATCTGTTTATGGCAGTTGGTCTTAGCCAGTATAATGTTGCTCTGTTCCACCTTGTTAACCACGCTTTCTTCAAAGCTCTACTATTCCTAGCAGCTGGTGCGGTAATTCATGCTATGGCGGATCAACAAGATCTCCGACGACTTGGTGGTCTAGTTAACTTCTTACCATTTACCTACACAGCAATTCTAATTGGTTCTCTGTCTCTAATGGCTTTCCCATTCCTTACAGGTTTTTACTCAAAAGATTTAATTCTGGAAGTTGCTAAGGGACAATACGAACTAAGTGGTAATGTAGCATATTGGTTAGGAACTATTTCTGCGGTATTTACTGCTTTCTATTCATTACGATTAGTTTCTCTAACATTCTTTACTGTACCTAATGCTCCAAAAGGTGATTACCTACACACACACGAAGCTCCAACAATTATTGTAATTCCTCTAGTAATCCTATCAATCATGTCAATTGTGTTTGGTTATGTTGCTAAGGATTTATTTGTAGGAGTTGGATCAGACTTCCTATCAACAGCACTATTCCAACACCCAGATCATGTTTCATTAATTGAAGCAGAATTTGGCCTACCACAACTATACAAACTACTACCAGCTATTGGTAGTGTATGTGGTGCAGCTGCTGCTCTATATCTTTACCACGTTGTTCCTCAATTCACAATCAACCTGACAAACAATGCACTTGGTAGTGCACTATACCGGTTCTTCAACGGTAAGTGGTTATTTGATGTGGTGTATAACAAGTACATCATTAACGGAGGACTACAACTTGGATTTATCTTCTCTAAAGTACTCGATCGTGGAGTGATTGAATTATTTGGTCCACACGGGTTCTCAACTGTATTAACTGACGCAGGTAAATCTGTATCAAATTACGATACTGGAGTAATTACAAGCTATGCTCTTTACATTATCTTAGGATTAATTTCATTCATCTTCCTACTATTCGCACCTCTTCTATTCACATCACTTGTGCCAGGTGCTGAAGATCTAAGTTCAGGAAGTATGGGACTAATTCTACTATATCTAGGAACACTTGTATTACTGCCACTAGTTCAACGTAAGTAATACTATCACAACTTAATCCCCTTTCTCACACCAATAATAATAGGTTATAATAGCATGTGATAGAGTGGTAAAAGTAACTAACTATTGCTTTCTATAGTTATTGTATAGAGATAGTGAAAATACTTCAGCGAATGTGATGGAATGGTAGACATGCCTCACTTAAGATGAGTTGTCTTAACGACGTAAGAGTTCAAGTCTCTTCATTCGCATAAATGGTGATAGCAATTCAAAGTAATAAGAAGTGAGAGAGGTAGCAATGCTTGTATTAGGAATTTTTTCTCTAATGATGGCCGTAGCGCTTCCTACAGTTCGTATTTCTCCTCTTCTTCTAATCCGAGTAACTTCTATCATTTTACTTTACGCCGCAGCATTATCATTTAATGCTAGTTATATCCAAGCTATTGGATCAGGTGTAGGTATTTATAGTGGTCTATTCCAAGTAACATCACTTTCACAAGTAATTGATACCTTCATCTTTGTGATCGCTGCTTTCGTTATTCTGCCTTGGGCTCCTGCTAAATTCACAACAGGTAACAATGCGAATAATACTGCAACTAATGTTTCGACACCTACAATTCCAGAATATTCACTAATTATTCTGTTCACAACATGTGGTGCAACTTTCCTTATTTCAAGTGCAGACCTTGTGTCTATGTATTTAAGTATTGAGTTACAATCATTCGCTGTTTACATCCTAGCTGCTCTATATCGAGATTCAGAATCAGCAACTAGCGCCGGGCTAAAATACTTCCTTCTAGGTGGTCTTTCATCAGGTCTAATTCTGCTTGGTTCAGCTCTTGTATATGCATACACAGGATTAACAAGTTTCGAAGGTATTTATAGTTTACTATCAGTTACAACAGAAGATAGTATTACTGGTCCAGTTACAATTGGTCTAACAATTACAGTAGTAGGTTTCCTATTCAAAATTGCAGCAGCTCCGTTCCACAACTGGGCTCCTGATGTATATGATGGAACACCAACAATCGTTACAACTTGGTTAACAATCATGCCAAAAATCTCTATTTTAGTATTCCTACTAGAACTACAAACGGGACTTTCAGGTGTTACTCTAGCACTACCATATGCTGGTGAATCATTTAATGTATGGAAAAACCTTCTGTTAATTTCATCAATGCTATCCCTAATTATTGGTACAGTAGTAGGACTAGCACAATTCCGAATCAAACGACTATTTGCTTATAGTACTATTTCACATGTTGGTTTCTTACTTCTAGCCTTAGCAATTAACACAGAAGAATCAATCGAATCATTTATTTTCTATCTAGTTCAATATTCAATCACAAACCTTAATGCTTTCCTAATCTTACTAGCCTTTGGTTACATTATTAGTCAAGCTAAAGCAGCGTCAACAGAAAGTACAGATATTCAGTTTATTTCTCAACTTAAAGGTCAATTCCGATCAAACCCATTACTAGGTCTTTCATTAGCAACATGTCTATTCTCAATGGCCGGAATTCCTCCTCTAATGGGATTCTTTGCTAAACAAATGGTACTATACTCAGCTACACATTCAGGATACTACTTTATGTCATTCGTGGCAATTATTGTTAGTGTAATTAGTGCAGCTTACTACCTTCGAATTGTTCGAGTAATTCATTTCGACTCAAGTGCTCCAGTTGGTCAAGAACCACAACAAACTGCGACAGCACCTTATATGACAAACGTGCATAGTTTCACTATCGCAACATTAACACTGGCAATTGCACTATTCGTGTTCAAACCATCATTTATCTTAAATAGCACACATCTTCTGGCTCTATCACTATTCAACGCATAATGAACGCATTAACAGTATTATTTTTCTTCGTTCCTGTTCTAGTAGCAATTCTTCTAGTTCTGAACGTTCTACTTGCTGTACACAAACCAGACACAGAAAAGGTTACACCTTACGAATGTGGTTTCTCACCCGTGTACGGACAAACTCGTGCGCCATTCTCAATCCAATACTACCTAGTAGGGATCCTGTTCTTAATCTTCGACCTAGAAATTCTCCTGTTCTACCCATTAGCAGTGACACTATATAGTGTTTCTACTTACGGTTTTGTAATTGCAGTATTATTCTTTGTAGTACTAACAGTTGGGTTCGTGTACGAATTCGGTAAGGGGGCTCTATACTTCACAGACCACCGGTCAGCTATTCGAGCACCTTCTGCACAATAATTAACAATCATCAACATAATCCCCACAGTCGGGACTGAGATTGTATTAATCTTGTACCTATACTATAAATAGATATTACAATTATATATATTTGATGTTAATAGAGATAGTAGATAGTATGGCAGTGTAATAAAAGAATGGATAAACTAAGTTTGTTGTCGTGAGATAGCAGATAAAGTTCCCACTATGTTCCCTAATCTGTTTCGTACAGGTGTAAAATCTTGAAAATTCAAATGTTAGCAGCAGCAAAATACATTGGAGCAGGTCTAGCAGCAATCGGTCTAACAGGAGCGGGAATCGGTATCGGTTCAATCTTCTCATCACTAATTGCCTCAACAGCTCGAAACCCCGCACTACGAGGTCAACTATTCTCATTTGCCATTCTAGGATCAACGGGAGAGTCCTTATAACTGAATTAATGCAGAAAGTATATATTATTACAATCTGCAGCGAAAGTCTTATATTTCGTTCAACGACTAGTATTGTTAATTATCTTATAATTGTGATAATAATACCAAGAACATTCAGCAGTTTGAATACTGAAGATATAGTCTAAACAATGGTGAAAACTATTGAGCATAACAGCACCTAATAAATTGTCGCCCTAGCAGAAGCAACTGGACTAAGAGCTAATAATCCAGTATAAATCAAATGTTGTGCAAGAAAACCAATAACCTTGGCAATTTGCAGCATCTAATAATACCTATTATGATGTTCAACGACTAAACCATTTGACAATAAGTAATTTTATTGATGACATAGTCTTAGCAATAGTGTAATCTATTGAAGTATGACACATACTGATAAAAGCCACTGTATTCGCCCTAATGATCTCATTCCTAGTTCTATACTCATAGTTTAATTACTACATTAATCCCCTATCATTAATATGTGCTTTCTTTGTGTTAATGTATAAGAGACTAAAGAGATATTCGATGTTTAGTATGAAGGCGAAACTCCTTCGGTGTAAAAGAATAGGTAATCAGATTATATGAAAAGCAAGTGTGTTGAAATTGGTAGACAAGCTCGTTTTAGGTACGAGTGGCTAAACGCTGTATGAGTTCAAGTCTCATCACTTGTACATATATTGTTATATTATAATACAACATTTATTAATGCTATGTTACAATAGGCGCCTTTAACATAATGGTAGTGTAACTGTCTTCGAAATAGTTAGTATTGGTTCAATTCCAGTAGGGCGTTAACATTATTACTCTACTATATAAGGGGATTAGCTCAAGGGTAGAGCGCTACTTTTACACAGTAGATGCAGAGGTTCGAGTCCTCTATTCCTTAATTTCTAGTGTTCTTGATGCTAGATATTTAAACCAAAGACCTCTTTTTCTTGTATTACTTTAGATATGAGTTAAGGACATGATAAATTTTAATTTAATATATATGTCAAATTTACTATCATTAATTAACTGGCCGCTAATCGGAACAGTTTATAACGATGCTCCAGAACCTTGGCAAATCTCATTCCAAGATGGTGCATCTCCAACATTTGAAGGAATTACAGAGCTACACAGTTCTATTTTCTTCTACCTAGTGATTATTTTCGTAGGTGTAGGTTGGGTGCTTGGTTCAGTAGTTGTTAACTTCAGCGCTAACACATCTCCAATTGTCTACAAATATGCAAATCACGGAACACTAATTGAATTAGTATGGACAATTACTCCAGCATTCATTCTTATTGCTATCGCATTCCCTTCATTCAAGCTACTTTACCTGATGGACGAAGTAATGTCACCTTCTATGACTATCAAAGTGGTTGGACACCAATGGTACTGGACTTACCAATATAGTGATTTTGTTAACGAAGATGGAGATAGTATCGAATTCGATAGTTACATGATTCCAGAAACTGATCTAGAAGAAGGACAATTACGACTACTAGAAGTAGATAACCGAGTTGTTGTTCCAGTAGATACACACATTCGATTCATTGTGACAGGAGCTGATGTAATTCACGATTTCGCTGTTCCTTCACTAGGACTAAAAATCGATTGTACACCTGGACGTCTAAACCAAACCTCTGTATTAGTACAACGAGAAGGACTATACTATGGACAATGTTCAGAAATCTGTGGAGTATACCACGGGTTTATGCCTATTTGTGTTGAAGCAGTGTCACTGGAAAAATACCTTGCATGGCTAGATAGTCAATCATAGTGAGCAAAGCTTAAGTTATTATTTACTTAGGCGATTTATAATTTACCTTTTTGGAATGTGATATTCCCCCCATTACTTTCCTGCATTAATCATGATAGAGAGATGTTAGGATTAAGTTATTATTAATTATTAACGTTATGCTTACAACACTTTACAACTTACTAGAGGTAGTTATTGTTCTAGTACCTATTCTTCTAGCGGTAGCGTTCATGACAATTATTGAACGGAAAACACTAGCAGCTATGCAACGACGAGTTGGTCCGAACAAAGTAGGTTACTACGGAGTTCTTCAACCGTTCGCTGACGCTCTGAAGCTAGTTGTTAAAGAAACAGTTGTACCATCACACTCAACACGTAGCTTATTCTTCCTAGCACCAGTAATTACATTAATCTTCAGTCTTCTAGGTTGGGGAGTAATTCCTTTCGGAGCAGGTCTAACACTTTCAGACTTCTCATTAGGTATTCTGTACACATTAGCAATTTCATCAATTGGTATTTACGGAGTACTTTTTGCCGGATGGAGTGCAAACTCTAAATATGCATTCCTAGGTGCGCTACGATCAACTGCTCAAATGATTAGTTATGAATTAGTATTAAGTGCAGCAATTCTTATTGTTATTCTTCTTACAGGTTCATTCAACATTACAACTATTATTGAAGCACAAGAATCTGTGTGGTACATTGTTCCATTACTACCTATTTTCATCATCTTCTTCATCTCAGCATTAGCAGAAACAA